AAATCCTTCTTATCAAACCTGAGGCTTGTGGACGACGTGTCTCTTTATGTTCCAGTTCATTCTTGAACTTTTTCTCTTGTGCATTTGAGCCACCACGGCTTGATGCTTCCCAATGAGGTGTGGAGATGACTTTAGTCTTATTCTGCTGATCAGGCACTCTCCTGTTTCTGCCCTGCGGCCTTCCCTCTCCAACCTCCTGAATCTGATATAAATACCTTTTCATGTCTTCACTCTGCTCTGTATAAAAGCTTTTCCACGCTGTCCTGCTTGTACTTACTCCAACTTTTAGTCAGGTTCTGTCTGATTCATTTTCTGCAGGATGATTATTTCCCAGAATTCCCACATGCGCAGGAACCTGAGGCCCTCTGGGTTTCCAGAAAAGGCCTTTCTCGAGGCAGACATTTGGATTTGCTGTTGCAGGAAAAGCACAGGGGAACTAATTTAGTTAATGATGTTTGAGTGTCCCACTGAACCACTCCGCTGAGTCAGGATGTACGACACCAGGACCCCAGAAACCAGCTCACCTCCACTCACTTTAACGTTATCAGCTCCACCTGTGCTTCTCCAGCTGCCAAAATGTCCTTTAGTCGTGATTAGAGCTCGCTGTGATAAACGGCCGCTTTGACTCGAAGAAATAGGGAGCTCTGTGAAGGTAATCAACGTTTCTGGAACGCTGTGGGAATTTCAGCCACGCTCCAAGTATGTGAAGCAGCTCATCGTTTAGTCAGTGAGTCGATGTTGTGCAGATGTTCAGTGGCATCGTGACATTTAGCGTGAAAAGTCTGCAAAACTACTGAATGGACTGCAATGATTCAAAACACACACACAAAAAAAACACACACACATTCACGTCCCTCTGAGCCTGAAGGCAAAAGCGATCCCCAACTTTTTTTTTCATGTGACTTAGATTTCCTATTGTTAACTTTTTGAGAATGTCTTTTATAGACTTTTTGTCCTATTGCGAGGTCTTTATTACTTTGCTTTGCACACATCTTCCTTGTCTTGCACTGCGTCGTAAAGCTTGTAATCTAATCAGATCTATTATTTTCATAACAGGCACAAATCACATGGATTCTGATCTTTTCTATTCTGCATTTAGTCACTTCCATATGTGCGACTGAAGAGTTTCTGGGAACTTTTGTACTTGAACCAAGTGTCCTGCTGGGAGAGTTGTGTGGAGAAACACTGACAAACATACAGTTCAAACCAGATGTTTACATACACTATATAAAAAGATATGTGGCCTTTATTTTCCTCATTATCTGACATTAAATCAGACTAAACTTTTCCTGCTTTAGGTCAGCTAGGATTATCAAAATTATTTCTATTTGCTAGAATTTTTTTAAAATTACTTTCTTCAAAGTCAGAAATGTACATACACTAAGATTACTTTAAACTGTTTGAGAAAGCCCACATGATGATGATGATGTCATAGCCTTGGAAGCTTTTGATAGGTTAATTGACAACATTAGAGTTAATTGGAGGCACACCTGTAGACTGTTACTGCAGCATGGAAAAAACTGTCTTCTTTTTCTGTCTTGCACTAAAATGATCATTATCTATTGTTATGTTTGAAGAAGGGCTGAATTTGGTCAAATGTGAACAAAAGGTTTTTGAGTTTTTTTAGCTGGTGACAAATTCTTAGTTAATCTGAAAGTTTATCTACAAACTAGTCAGGTGTGGCTGTAGATGACAGTGATCAGACAGAGTAACCACAACACAGACATCCTCTGGCTAATTGACCACTTTAAAATACAATATTACTGAAATAATGCCACAGATCACAATAGGAAGATGAGAACAGACTGTTGGTACGACACAATCTGCCACAAAATGCTCTGGATGTCCAACAACGTCATCCTGGAACTCATCACTGACTTATAATTATTGGTCAACGACCCCACTCTGAACCGTCCCATTATCATTTCCAATACAGCGCTTACTTGGTTGTTTCATGTCGTCCACTCGGTTGTAGAGATGTTTGAACAACAAATACTTTTGACTCTATGCTATCAAGTACAGATTTAATCAGACACAACATGCTGCATTTACATTTGAGTTCAGTGTAAATGAAAGTAGCTCTGGACATCCTGAAATTTTGGATAAAATCTGTTTCAATGAAGCTACTTGTGTCACAGTCCCACAGCTCTTCGCTCCAATCTGAGAAAACATCCAACATTCATAACAATACTTTTAATTATCCAGTTAGACTTTCCAGGATGCTACCTCTGACAATTTTCTTCAGTTGAAAGAAGTCAATAAGAACCAAAAGGTGACACCTAGAGGCCGGAGCCTGCATGTTCACCTAAAAATCCTGCTTTTTTTTTCTGGCAAAGTGACACAGAAACACAAGCCTCTATTCAGGAGGAGTGGCTGGAGAGTGCTAAACAATGCAGGTACATCTCTGTGAACGTGGAACAGAGGGGAGTATGGATGGGGACATCAAACCCCAGCAGGCAGAAGGTTTGGACGATATTGTAAGGAATACTTCAGTCTGTTTGTGTGGTGCACTGAAAAAAATTAGCTACCTGATGGAGGAGGGGAAAGCTGGTTTTTATTGAAAGAGTTCATTTGCAAAAACAGACAACTCCATCTACACAAACGTTCAGAAAACCTACTTTTCCATCAAATAGCAATCAAATTTAAGTTATCTCTATTTTTGTCATGTTATTTGTACTGAGACGGGCTGCAAGGTGGCTCGGTGGTTAGCACTGTTGCCTCGCAGCAAGATGGTCCCCAGTTCAGGTCCAGGTGAGGACACCTGGGATCTTTCTGCATGGATTTTGCATGTTCTCCCCGTGCAGCATGGGTTCTATCCAGGTTCATCCAAAACATGTTGAGGTTAATTGGTGATTCTAAATTGTCCGTAGGTGTGAATGTGAGTGTGCTTGGTTGTCTGTCTCTAAGTGTAGCCCCTTGAGAGACTGGTGACCTGTCCAGGGTGTCCCCTGCCTTCACCCTAAGTCAGCTGGGATAGCCTCCAGCCCCCTTGCGACCCTAGTGAGGATTAAGTGGTGTATAGATGATGGATGGATGGATTTCTACTGAGTCAAATCCACTCAACTTCAGTTTGATTGATATTATCTCAAGCAAACAACAAAAAAACTAGTTTTCTGAAAATCTACAAAAGTGAAGTTATCTGTTTTTACAAATGAACTCTTCATTTGTATGTGTGGACTCTGCATCCACACACACCTCCAGGAGCTGCAGCCATCGACTCCAAAAAACCCAGAATTAAAAACCGTCTCTCGTTCTTCTCATCTGATCATTCGATGACAAATTCACTGTCTTCAGCTTCACGTCAATCTACAAATTACATCATAGCTGCTACCTTCAGTGGCCTCTGTGCCAGGACCAGTTTACATCTGACAGTTTTTTTTTTAAATAATGTGAACAACAAAACAAAAAAAATCTGTAAATTAGAACAGAGCACAGTGTGAATGTAGCCAAAATGAATTGTTTGTTAACTTTTCTGGGATCTCATAATCAGCTACGGCTGCAGAATCGTGTAAATTGAGGTTTTTAAAGCTGAAATGAAATGATTTAATCAGACAGACGTGGCTGTGTTCTCTCATTAGACGAACAAACATATAATAGTTGCCTTACGTACAACAGAGTGAGGCTGAGAACATCGTGCACAGATAGAAATGAGAACAAAGCAACTTTTTTTTTTGTAACGGAGATGTTTATTTAGACAACTGAATGCATGCCAGGAAGAACTGTGTTACAGCAGCTCTCTCACATTTCTAACTCTGAGGGAGAGACAAACTTTTGAGTGTTGAACACTATCTGCTCTAATTTATTGCATCGACACATTTACTCTTGTCGTGTATTCGGGGGGAGACAGGAGGTACCGTTGTTGAAGATTAAGGAGCTCGGATCTTAAACAGCTTTGGCCAGAATATCACGAGTTGTTCATATCACTGTTTTGGCAAAAGGACAAAAGTAATTCACACCTTGCGTTAAGGGAATTTTTAACCTCTCACACAAAACACGTAAAAAGACGATTAAAAAAGATGCACTTACTGTAGGTAGCATTCACATGCAGTATAATGTGTCTTCTCCTCAGACTAGATTTAACATTTTTCTCCACTATTTCTTACAGAGATTCACAGCTAATGTTTTTCACTTTGGGGAATTATCTTACATATAACAGCTACTGGATGAAAAAAAAAAAAAAAGACACGTCGGATGGATTTGGGGGGAAAAAGGAAGACGTAATGAAATGATCTGAAAGGCAAAAGAGACAAAATTGTGCTTATCATTGGTGGGATCTCTTCCGAAAAATTTGGTTAATGAACACACACAACCCCTTTAATTCCATCCCCAAATAAACGGGGATTCCTCGACACAATTTCAGCCAGTTGGTCCATCGAAGTTCTTTGTTGTTGTTGTTGTTTCTCCAATATACTGATGAGCCAAAAAAAAATACCATAATATCAAAAATAAATGCAACCCTTTCACAAAACAATGAGCAATAAATAATAATCAAGTGGTGTTCTTGTACTGTATATGTACTGTATATACACAGAGAGTTAAGTTTGTTGTATATATGTACACAAAAAAACAACTGGCAGTCTTACTTCAGACTGGGTTTTTAGCATAGCCTACAGCTGGGATCTGAGCCCAAATCCTATAAATCCCAGAAAAAGCAACAATAACTTACACAGAGTCCTTGGGAGCAGAAGGGTTAATGCACAATGAAGACTACTATGTTGCCTGCAAATTTTTTTCTTCCCCTGCCCCCCCGCCAAAATAGAAGCACTGGTTTGGAAAGGAAAAGTAAATATAAATGAAAAATGTAACTTTTTTTTTTTTTTTTTTTTAGGGAGGGGGTAAAAAAAAAAAAAAAAAAAGCCTCTAGAATTCCATAAAATAATTAGCTTATTAAAACATTGATTGACAACAACATGCACAATGCTTTTCCCAGTTTGGAGAGGGTGATGATGACGAAGCACTTTGTCTGCACGGTGGCATGACTTTGCAGTTTTTTTTCTCCCCCCCCCCCGCCTCCTTAACGATGCTGTTTCTGAAACAACATGAGAGCCACTGGTGCAAGCTGTGCGCACGTCGAGGTGAGTCCCTTTTTTCTTTCCTCCTTTAAGGGTTGTTGTTACTTTTTCTCCTCAAGCGAGTTCTTCGAAATAAGCGTTTTAAAAATCCGTCCCCCGCCCGCAGTTCACATGCTCGGGTTCAAACGCGGGCAGCAGTTCTGCAGTTTTTGCTTCCATAAATCTATTAATGTCGCCACAACTGTCCTCTCAGCACATTAAGTCCATTTGCTTACCAACAAACACCTCACTAAACACTTTAGTCCCAGTCTTATTTTAGTAGCTTATGTACAGGAGGTTGAAGTGTCTGCCAGGCAGTATCCAAGGCAACCAGCCACACATTTACAGTATGCATTCCAGTTTTCAGTCCTCTGTTCATCTTCACAGGTTTATGTGCATTTGTGTCTCTGAATGAAGGTTTTATTGTGTGCAGTTCATGTATTTCTACCTAGAAAGTATGTTTTTTCTTTTTGTTGTTGTTGTTGTTGTTCTGGCTGCTGTTATGAAGAGGTCACTGAATCATACGTCGGACACACAATCTATCGGATGTGTTTGTGTGTGTGTTTATGTGAATGCATGGGTTTGTGCTTGTGTGTGTGTAGCTCTGGTTAAATGTGTTCGTCTCTGTGCTTTTCTTTTTTTTTTCTCAAACGCTACGTGGGGGTCTCTGCAGCTCATGGGTCCTCCTGTTGCGTCCCTTCTTGTTTTCCTGCATCCGTCTCCACTTGTTTGCGTGCTGGCTCGTCGCTCGAGATCCGCCCCCAACCGGAGAGCCAGCCGGGACGCCCTGCCCCTTCTGGCCGTTTTGTGTCTTCTGGTTGTTCTTAGGTGCCTGGCTGCTCAGTATACCCAGATTTGATTGAGCTTTCTGGGTGTTCTGGTTCTGTGCTGGCTCCTCCGCTGTTGGAGCTCCAGCCTGAAGCCAGGGCCGGCTCTGTGGTGGACTGGCTTGCTGCTTCTGAGCATTGGGCGCCAAGGCTTTGGGCCGTATTACCGGGTTGGAACTGCCGGCGCTGTCAGGTTTGCCCTGACCGTTGCCGTTGGGCGTCTTCACCCTCTTCTGTTTGCGCTCTTTCTTCCAAACTCTGTCGCAAAACTCCTCCACGCTGTTGAGCTCCGGATGGTCCAAGAGAGAGAGGAAGTCTCGGTACCACACCCTGTGTTTGGCCGAGTGACCCACGCCTCCTCCGGCACCGGGGAGTCCAGGTAGGATGTCGCCCAGCCTCTGGGTGGGGATGACCTGCAGGTTGAGGCGCAGCAGGGGCTGGATGAAGCCGTGCTCGACCGCCTGGCAGTGATAGACGCCGGAGTCAGACTGAGCCAGGCTGCGAATCAGCAGACCCTGGTCCGTACGAAGCACTCTGTCGTCTAGCTTGATCTGCAAAAGACAGAAAGACAAACAAATTAGAACAAGAGGAGAAGACAGGTAGAGCTAACAGGCACCATGAGTCGGGACCACGGTTTCATAACTGACCAATTCTACCATTATTTTTAAAGGTTCTATATGATATGTGTTGTGTGGTAAAAACTTGTAGGTATGAAATAAAAACTGTGAGAATATTAAGATGCTTTCTAGTGCTGTTCTTCAAGCTCCCCTAAATCTCCTAGTTTTACAAGCCAGTGAGGATTTCATCTAGTTTTAATACAGTGCTGCCCACTTAATGTCATACTGCTTTATACAATATCCTGTTTATAATTATACAATATCGGAGTTCTGAATAATTTCCTATATAATCTATAGTAAAACAGCCGGTTTATCATTATAGAATAATGTCATAATCCCGGTTTTTGTCATAATGAAATTCCCCAAAATTGATTCCAGGAATAACTTTTGCCCGTTTAAAGTCATGGTCGGCTGATTGTTATGGTTTACGGGCTGAACGTTGGTCATGCGTGGCAGATTGTCACACCCTGGTCAGCGGCGGAAGGCAACGTGTTTGTTTGTTTGGAAATTACCTGCTCACCTGAGATCTGCTTCACTGAGTTATTCACACTGTCTGACATTAATTAGGGCACATCAAAGAGAATCACATTGTTGCAGCCCGCTTATTGGAATATCCCAGATACAGTCATAACTCCATCCTGGACCATGGGTATGATAATAAACGGGCAGCACTGTAGAGCCAAAAGTCATTGACCTCAATATTTGTACTGCCCACTGCTTCCATTCACAACAAGCAGCTGCCTCTCAGTCTACCAGGTTTATTTGCTTTCTGGAGCTGCCTCTGCTAACTCTAACACACCAAATGTTCCGTTGGCTGTAAAAGTGAACACAAAAGTCTTCATGCACTCCCAGCTTCTGATGAACTGAAGATGGCAACCTTCACAACAGAAAGATCCTGGTTAGCACACTACAGCTGACTTCCCAATAAAGATGCTCTCATTTACATATTTATTAGTTAATAATAAAATTATGACTGAAGCATGACCATTAAATCTACGGTTACTATGTTAACCAGCAGTCACTGAAGAGCCATTTCCTTCTTCTCCGCCCCACTAAACCGATTGACATCACTCCATGTTGTCAATCAAAGATGCAGTGAAAGTCTTCTTCCTGAAGGGTTTTGTGGACGGCAGCAGTCTCTCCCTGGTATCCTTTTCTTTCTCATCGCTCCCCTCACCCACCCAGTCTGGCAGATGGTCGCCCTCCCTGAGCCTGGTTCTGACAGAGGGTTTATTACTGTTCTTCTGTTATTTCTTCCCGCTGTTAGCAAAGAGCTGCTCTAAGAAAAACATTGGACTCACAGGGTTTCTCTCTATAATATAAAACCGTTATATTAAGTGCCCTGAGATGACTTATGTGGTGAATTGGCATTATATAAATAAAACTGGACGGAATCGAAGTATTTAAAAGGAAGGCCTCTTGGATGGCAACCGCTAAATGTAAACATAACTCCACTGGACATCTTTACATTTCTGAACACCCAGTGGACAAACTTGAGGTTTGGATTTAACCGCAGACAACGGCACCGTATGAAAAACTGCAGCTACAATAATGCAGCTACATCAATCATCGGAGTTGTCAACAATGACTGACCTGGCACAAAAACACGCACAGTTTTCCAGAGAAAAAGCAAAACCTGGCTCAACTTTAGCAGCAACAGCAAAAACATCATTGTGGTCACCTATCAAATATGAAGCAGCGCACATTCTTTTTAGATTAATTCCTAAGCTGGCGACTGGGATAGTAATATCCTTCCAGATAAAATTATAAACTGCTATGTTTTGCATCGATAAGCCTCCAGACTCACGGGTATATTGCTCAACTTGTATCGTATTTCTCTTTCTCGCAGGTACAACACTGAAACAACACGCCCAGCTAGAAAAATACAGCCACAGTACAAATTCTTGCAAAAGTAATCGGTTACATGCCGGGTCAAAAGTTAATCTAAACACCCACACCCTGAGGTTTTCACCCTTCTGGGTCTATGGGGGTTAAAGATTAAAAGAGTCAAAGGTCAGTGGATGATAGAGCAGGGAAGGTGTAGCCCAGGGCAGAGAGATGTTTGGTCTGCACAAATCAAATTACATGAACGAGATAGCATCATATTCATTTGCAGTATAATAATCACACCATTATGCACCAGTTGACCATAAATGTACGTGCATGTATTTCACACACACATGTACAAACCTCATGCTTGCGGTCGTCGTTGGGCTTCTGCAGCTGCCAGTAGATGAGCGCTCTCTGAGACTTGGGGCTGCACTCCAGAAACATGCTGCTGTTCTCCACACCGAACACACTCCTGTCCTCCACGCTGCCCCCTAGTCCATCCGCATCATCTGATAAGGACGAAAACGCACGCAATGAGATGTGCAATGGCAGGGAAAGGTAAGAAGAATGAGTGTTTGCGTGAAGCCTTTAAGGTACCGTGATGCTGAAGGTCTGAGCACTGGGAGAGAGGGTCTCCGTTTCTGATGTCCTGTCGTCTGGTTCGCCTGTGAAGAAGCCACAGTGAAAGTGAAATGACAACTTACTTGGACACATGCTCTGTAAAGTACTTCATCCATGCTGTGTACTGTTTAATTGCAGCCACTAGGGGGCAATGTTACCAAGTGGCTAAGAAAATGGGCATTTATTCAACCTTTTACTCCACTGTTAAATCGCATGGATGAAAAAAGAAAACCACTAAACCCTTGCAGAATGTAAGAAACATAAACCTGCTGAGCAGTGAAACAACGTGCTTCGTTGCCTTCTGATGAGCCGTCATTATGAAACACATACAGCATTGTTTTGCCCTTCAAATATCTCGTACAAGCAGCTGTGCTCTTTGTCCTCTCTGTTTGAAAAGTCCACTGTGTCATCTGGCTTTTTTTTTTTACTGTGATGAAGGTGTTTTCATAGTCTGGCTTTACTGACTAGCTGCGAATGTCTCCCCTGCGTCTAGTTGATTTGAAATAGTACAAAAAAAATCAAAAATCAAAACGGGGTGAAGCCAAAAATGAGGTGAGGGGCTGGAAGGGAAGGGAGCAGAGCAGGACCAGAGGAAAAAGTAGAAAGGTGAAAAGGAAACAATGGTCAGCCATTCAGCATCCTCCCTTTCCTAACTTATGTGGACACTCATCGCTTTCTTTTTCTCACACACGTCCCTGCTCGGTACGTTTCCTGGCCTAACATTCCTGTCTTTTTTGGCCGTCTGAGCACGTGCAGGGCAGGGTGTCTGGTTCTCATTCTGGGAGGGAAAATATTTGCAGTGTCGAGGAGAGAGCCGAGAGGAGCCGGTCCTGGCCTTAACCATGGGGTGTGCCACCTCCTCTGTAACCCTGCCAAGCTGGAGTATACCCACTGGCCTACTTCTGCTGGTGTGAGAAGTTCTGGATGAATGAGATGCAGGGGTGTAGCGCTGACTGAGTGTGTGTGTGAGGGCTTTAGTGGTCAGCCTAATCCTGCTGGATACAGCGGAGGGTAATTTGAGGGTGTGTATGTTCATACCTCCTGGCTGCAGGGTGAAGCGGTCAGACAGCTCCTGTTGGCTATAATTTAGTGTGTGTGTGGGTGCTCGTGTATGTACATTCATGTGTGCGCATCTTGGCTTTGGAACGATGGAATCACAACCCAGAACAACTGTACTGGCAGCGGCGCTAACCCAGGTTTCTGGATTGTTCCTCTTGGAATGCCTGTGTGTGTGTTTAATGACTGTATTTTGTGCCTGTGTAATATACAGATTACTTCCATGTTTGGATGTTCTGGCCTGTTCTGTGTATCTGTTATTTTCCGATTCACTGCACTTGCTAATATGCCAATGGAGGTCTGAGGTCTTAGCACGAAGGTTGTGCATGAGGGTGCCCTTGAGCGTAACGTTTAAAACCAACTGTTTTGAAGCCAACTGCAACAGCAGAACGCAGGTGTACTGATAACTCCCACGTGTGACCATAAGCGATGACGTTAATACAAAGGCAAGATGTTGCTGAAAAGGAAAATGCGGGCTGAGCAGACCCTCGGAGGATAAATAAAGGTGAAGGGGGGAGTGTTTAGTGTGTGCAGACTCCTACCTCTTGGCGGTAGGAAAGTATCTTGAGCACTCAGCACCGTCCCAGGCGCAGTAAGGGTCTCTGGCCAGGCAGCACTCAGCGCAAGCTTTCCCATACACCTCGCAACGGTGTAAAGACATCTGTGATACACCCAGGGCCGAGCCAAGGTACAGCTGTTGCTGTGGGAGCCAGAAAAACAGCAAGGACGTAAAAATTAAACGATCCTGTGTGGCTCGCTTGGAACAGGTTCTTGCGAAAAGAAGGTGGTTAAGTTCTCAGTAGGCACATTTGATATCCTTGTTTTTCGATATCAGCGTTTGCTTAAAGGCCCAGAACTTGTCACTTTTTTTTTTTCTGTTTCACTTGGCCCTGTAGCCTTGTCAACAACTTTTTGGGTGAATTACAATGTGTGAAAAGTTTTTACCTGCTTGGTGGACAGCTCCATGGCAGTAATGGGGGTAGGCTCCTGTACAAAACAAATACAGCCACATTTAACACCCCGTCTATGGACGATGTGAGTATTTTTGTTGGGAGCAACTTCATAATTTGTTGTTAACACTCAATTTTCAATGTCATACCCTAAAGACAGTCATCTCCTCCAGCACAACCTCCTCTAGGTCATGCCAGCTCTCTCTGGGGATCGTCACCACCTTCAGCACTGTTCCCATATCTGAAAAACAACACGCAGAGATAAAGCAAGTGCAGGTCTGTATAAAAAGCATAAACACCTTTGTTTATTCAGGGGGGGAAGTCCTCCTGTGTTGAAACATGTGCACATGCTTAATTATACTTTACATATATGTCGTTTTCATATAATGTTTGGGCATTTCACTGTATAGAAGCAGGTAAGGATTCTAAAATATTCACTACAATTACATTTCTGCAGTTGTGTTTGCAAAATAATGTCAAAAAGTTTTAAAAGGACCAGTTTGCTATAATAAAACAGGTTAAAAATAAATGACCAATGGATCCACTGCATACCTGTGCCGATGAACATGACGTCATACTGGCCGTCCTCTGCCTCCACTCTGTCCACCACCAGCTGGGAGAACTGGTAGTCCACGTCCGTCCGCACCATGATGGGACGCCCTCCTATCGGGTGAACCGGGTTGTACATGGCAGGGTGACCTCTGGCGAAGGTGATGACGTCATCGGGAAGGTCCTTGGTGGAGTCAAAACCTCCAAATGTCTTGCTGGGGCACTGAGGAGATATGATATGTTTATTATTTCTTCTAATCTCTTTATCTGTTTTGGGTCATTCCATGAATAATGAGTGTGTGCCGCTGACCTGACTCCCTCTGAATGAACTGTTTTTTTTTTTATGTGCAGTAACTTTAGTATATTTCATGAGGGCCTTGCAAAATTTTATCTTCATACTATGAATATTTTCAGAGTTACAGAACCATGAAGTGCATAGGGGGTGAATGGAAATTTGCATTACTTTTCCAGCATTTGTAAGCCCTCATATCTTCATAAGCACAGGAGGCAGACACATAAAACTTTCAGGAATTAAAAACACATTTGAGCTCTTTTAAAAACGGCAACTAAATCTGTTTTACATCCACTTCAGGTTTTATAATCTTAAGCCAAAATCTTGTTTTTGTTCATTATTTCTGTAACTAAGCATCACCAGACATGTCATAGTTTTGATAACAAACAGAAAATTATTGAGACACAGAAAGAATCATGACTAGAAGATGAGCCTGGTAACAACTTAAAAATGAGACCAACTTGTTTTGACTGACCAGTTATCCCACAGAGTGCTATGATTCATGAAAGCTTACCCAAAATGCACTGTTTCTCCAGGGAATTCTCAAAAAGCAGATTAAACATCTGGGCTAGCCATGCTTGTTACTGTTAATCTGTGCCACAGATATTAAACTGGTGTAGTTACCATGATATTAATGCTCAAACTTGGTTAGCGGAAAAAAACAACAGGATTTTGGCTTTGGATGATGACACCTGGAATGGATGTAAAATTGCTTTGGTTGCAGATTTTAACAGATGTGCTTTTCACCCCGGAAAATTTCATGTGACTATCTGCTTTCCGTATGAGGTTATGAGAGCTCAGAAATGCTGGAAAAAGTAAGCATGAAATTTCGACCCACCCATATGTACTTAATGGGCTTGTAACTTGGAAAATTGTCATAGTATGAAGGTAAAAATGTTGCATGGCTTCATTTAATATACTAAAGTTATGGTACATTAAAAAAAATCAGCTGATTCTGAGAGAGTCACGTGGGAACTTTTTTCGGATTTGTTTGATTTTATGTAGCATGACACTATTAACCGCTAATAGAAAGCAGCAATCCATGTGTGTTAGTGGTCTTGTGCGTATTCTGTGCCAGTGTGACTTTATTGCTTATAAATTTACTGCATTTGTGTAAAATGGCCAATGAAGACTCACAGTGCCAGGACGAGGGTAGGGCACTCTCCCTTGGAAGGGCACCCACTGGTAGTTGGGTCCATCTCTGTGGGCGTAGGGACCCAGGAAAACCCTCCTGATGTCTGCCATGTTATACATACAGACTGCTGAGCCTTTAAATATGTTGCTGTGGAGGGAGAGAGAAAGAGGACGGTGACATAAAGAATGATGAGAAAGATAAACAAAGGACATTCATAAATGATCGGTCACAAGACATGGATTAGGAGCCTGTGAAATACTGACGAAAGACAACAAAATGACCCTTCATCGCACAAAGACAGAAAGGAGCAAGGTTGTCATTACCTAAGTATAGGAATGACAGATTGGAACTTCTCTCTGATTGCTTCCAACCCCTCGAGAACAGACAGGAATTTGGGCACGGCACCAACAAAACAGGAGACCTGGTTCAGAGCATATTTGAAATCCCCTCCAATATTCTGCGAGCGTTTGCTCGTGCCAGATGGGCGGATTGTGCTTTCGCTAGAGCGGACGAGGTCCAAAGCAGGCAAGGGCGATCAATCATGCTAAAAAAAGGGGAAAATGATGTGGATTTTCTTTCAATTCATGCTCCGTCGTGGGTCATCCAGAAGACAGCAATTTGAGCTGTGACTCACTTGAATGGAGAATTTGGGAGTTCCGCGCGAATATTCCAAGACTCCACAAGAGTTATTAAAATATTTAGGTGGAGATTGTGACAATGTAAGCTGGCTGTTTGCAATCTATGAACACCAGTAAGCATGTATGAAGAGATCTGTTTCTTAGTTTTTGCTGGGTTGAATGTTCAAAACTAATCTCAAGTTCATTCATTAACTTTCCAAGTGTCACTTTTTTTTTTTTTTTTTACAGATGGCAGATTTTCTTTTGGACAGCAAATCTCCTCTTACAGGAACCAAGGGCTTCAATAAGATTCAAGACGTCCTTTGTCTTGCTGACTGCAATGGGAAGTTGTATCAGACTAATTAGGGATGTGGCTGGCATACACACAGCCGCCAGTACTCACCAAAGCATGGAAGATGAATGGATTAGCATTTAAAAATGTTAATTACAGAGAAATTCAATTAACTCCAGGGGCAAGAAAAGACACTCCAATATCTGTGCTTAAGAAGAAGGGCGAACATGTGTTTGTGCAGATACACAGGGAGGGAGAGAGGCGCGCAAATTCACCTTCCAGAAAGAGGCACAAACACACAATCACACACACACACACACACATAGCGGCACAATCAAACATTGATCTGTCAGTGGCAGCTTCTTTGTGCCTCATTAAGCAGTGATATTAAAAGCCGGTTCCTCTGAATCTCTGCTCTATTCATCTCTGAAAACCGGCCACTTAGAAAACCAATTAAACCACTGTAATTCCTCAATGCCCCATAATTGAATTTTAAAGTGTACGTGTGTGTGCGTGCGTGTGCGGGCCGACGTGTGGGTGCGTAGGTGTACGCCCACCAACCTCTCGGGGGTTTTGAATGCGTTCCAGAAAGCTGAGAAAAGCCATGCGGGTCTGGTGATGCAAGGGCGCCTGTCAGTGTGCGTTAGCTTGCACCGCTGTTCCATTCAGCTTGTCTTATCATTAGCCGTGATTGATGGTGAAGTGTTTGTCCTCCTTTCAAAGCGGTTCACAGACAGTGCTGGACGCAAAATATCCCCCTCCTCCTCCTCCTCCTCCTTCTCCTTCCCAAATGCAAATTCATCATCATCATGATAAGTGCCACCATCTGTGCCATTTCAACTCACTTATCTGCCTTGCCCCCATGCCTTCACCTCTCCACATGCTTCAATAGAGCCACACCCGGCCTCTGAAAACCCCATTCATGGCTGGGGCGGCGGCCAGGGGAGAAACGTGCGTTCCTGCTAAGTGAATATCATGTTTCTCTCGCTCCCTCCTGCCCCCGTAATCTGATTTCCATACAAGCCTGCCAAGATTTCAGTACAAAAAATAAAGAGGGGGACAGGTAGTGAGGAACAGGGGGGGGATTGGATAAAAGCAATCTCCTATCTGAGATATGGGGAGGGCTACTATCAAAAAAGGGAACCATAAGACACCTGTAAGTGGATTACGGGAGCGCTGTCTGGGAATTTGACGGCGGCACACTCGGTCGCTCGCATCCTGCCGTGTCATTTGAAATGGTTTCGGAAATTACAGATAAAGGATGTGAAAGGGAAGAGTTCCTGAAAGGAAATGTGAAGCGTGTGTGTTTTTCAAATACAGAGGAAATAACTTGCCCACTGAATACATATCAACTCCTTCTGATCTCCTAGCAACAAATCAACAAAACAAATATGATACTACCAGTGTTTGTCAAACTGTTTGAGAGTCTGAGGCCTTGCATGAACGGCTTAACAGAAGAGACCTGCACAGGATCGTACCTGGATGTGGTGAATACAGCGTAGATAACTGGATTCTTCGGGTCCTTGGAGCTCATGAGAAACACGTCCTCTGAAAATCGAAAACAAAAAAAACGGGTGAAGGCGAGGGCTTTCAACAGGATTTTGAAAAGAACTGTGAGGTTGTGCGTATAAAGGCACACTTACGTAGTTCATCAAAGTGTGTATCAATGCCGTTCACCCCAGGGACTGAACACATTAGTCGGGCTTTAAGGAAAGTGGTCCACTTGTTCACCAGACTCCTGTGACCTCCCATGTCGTTCTGCAACAACATCGACGCATTTCTGTAAACGCTCAGCTCATTATGTGCCTATCTCTGCAACACATCTATAGTCAGTCGGCCTTTTCATCGCTTAAGAGACTGTGAGGAGGATTTTGTTTGCTTGTGCGTGTTGTTACCTTACACAGTTGTCCTATCCTGGCGATGGTAGCCTTCCCGGTGTGCTCTCCGTCCATGGCGTTCTCTTTGAAGAACAGGAAGATCTTGTCGTCTTCAGGGTTGTCACTCTCGGGGATCAAGTTTACGCCGATGAACCTGGGGTCTGGAGGATAAAAAAGGAAAAATGAATAAAGCAGAAAAACTTACAAACTCACCCCTCCTGCACATGTCATTTTACAATCCAACCTCTGCCCCAATGACAATCCCTTCACCCCTATTTTACACCTCTGAAACCAATCCCCCGTGATACTCTGCAGTCACGGCTCAGTAATAACAGCCATTCACTTTACACCCTGGCGTTACAGCATCTGACTTTACCTCAAGTGAGCGCTCCAAATCCAAATCCCACATAACCCCTGTCTCTAGACCACATCCTCGCAAACACACATGGCTCTGATTGTCCCGGGTAACACTTGAATAAATTTATCTCGACTTTAAGCGCGAGAGGAAATCAAAAGCTAAACGGAGGAGCCGGTGCCACAGGGGCCGGGACATCTGTGGACGTAAAAAAAAAAGGGGGCACGAGAGGGCACGAGGACTGACGGAAAAAGTGGCCGCAGTCACTGAGGCGTCGTCACGCGTAAAACGAGCCTGCGCCTAAAAGCTCGGGGGTTAGCTGGAGAGAAACAAGCAGTGCCATGTTACACCTCCGTGGCCGTTTAGGATATAGAGTAGCTGTGAAAAGGGAGAGTGTGGCCAAAGTGGGAAGCAGATTTATAAGCGCTGTGCGAGTGCGAGACCTCTGGTATGAATCATGTGTACCCCACACACGCTTCATACTTCTATGCCATTAAATCTACAGGTTCATAAATTCATCTGTGGATGCAATCACGAACAAAAACAGGCTGCCGCCGGTGTCGCCAACCACTGAGGTCATACAATTCATTACATTTAATACCCAACAAAAGGCCACTTTATTCAGAGGGGGGGGTTTAATCCAGCATCTATGTGAGGGAAAGGGCATTAAAAGGTGATGAGATGTGTAAATAAATTCAATGAATCAAGACTACCCAACCTACCGTTTAACCCCAAATCCTTTTAGAATCATCTGCTATTAAGGATTCATCCCCAAGTTTCTCTCTTGTTACATTTGAGTACCATGTAACCTTGTTGATAAAGGCTCAATAGAATATCCCCAACCCAGTAATCCATGCAATTACAATCCCCTCTTTGTGGTGAAGGCGTTGGATTTTGCCGAGCCGGATGGATACAATCCCTCCAGCGTATTTGTTTGAACAAGGTGAAAGATCGATGGGGATTAACTCTACAACAATGACTTCTCCCTTTTAAATCGCTCTTTATTAATACGTCACAGCAATCAGCACTGCAGAGAGCAGTGTTTGTGATTTTTGATGGCGCTGGGGGAGGTGGGTGGGCGGTTGGGTGGGTGGGTGGTTGAGGGGAACTGGGAGGAATTTGACTCCACTACAGGAAAACAGCTGAGAGCGGATTAGTTCTGTGGGAAAGAGTGGAAAAAAAAAAGGGGATGGCACAGCTTGAGGGAAAGGTTCAAACTGACCTTTTGTGGCTCCCTAAGTCCTCTGCAGTGCCGAAAGATAGCCAGACAGACTGAACAGTCAATAACCCCTCAATGCAGCGCTAATCTTACTAGCGCAGGCAAATCCAGTGACTTTGTGAATGGGCTCTGATATCTGATGTCTGCACATGAATGGAAATGATTGGAGACTGGAGGCTTGTGAGAGAATTTAATGCTTCAAAGTCTGTTGAAAACCTCAACGGTATCCTTTATCCAAATAATGGGCAGAGACAGGGGTTAACTTACTGAAAAGCGGAGGTGCATATAGACCATGATTGTCCAGTTTGACCTTAAGTTCGCTGGAGCTCGTTAAGTTTGAAAACGTTGTTAGCCTGCACTTTTTGCAACATTTTTGAGCAGTTTACAGTAAAATGCCAAATTAAACTTCTACAATTTCTTCATAAGGAAAAACTACATTATACAAAACAGATTTTCTTTTTCATGAGAATACTTTGCTTGGGGGTTCAGAGTTCTAATAAAAACAATCTTTAATTTCATTATTTTCTTTTTTTTTTTTTTTTACCATTCAGCCATCTTGAATCATGCTGCTCTGTTCTGATTGGATGATGATCTCCCAGCGTACGGAAAATAGCAAAGTCCCTTCCCATGAAATCAGCAGATGTGCCAGAGTACAGCTCTCCGTCTGCCAGAAAGAAAGCAAAGTTAGGAACAAATGACCGGCTCTCGAGCGGATTGTGCACTTCCTGGAACTAATAAAAGGCAGAGATCAAACTCACCAATCAGAAGCGAGGCCGAGAGCATTTTGGGGTCGTAGGGGCTTTTCCCGCGGCCGTTCTCGAAATGCGAGGCCAGCCGAAAGATGTTGTCCTGCGGTGGAGAGGGTCAAAGATCAAAATGAGGCCAATGAGAGCCACATTAAGCCTGGTTAAAGGTGCATTTATAGCCAGTGTTTCGAGTTACAACATATCCTCATTACAGCACGCTACTTTTGGGCCGCCGAACGAAATCGGTCACACATGAGCAATGAGCAGTTGTTTTTTTTCACACTGCTTTGGTTACAGATCAACAACAGTTTCTGTAGCGGTGCAAAAAGAAGGAAACAATGGGGGCTAAAGTAGGATTAAGCAGCCAAAGTAGACCTCCTTACTGAGAGAGTCTTTGAACAAATTAAAAGAGGGGTCCAACTTACTCACTTTTCTTTAAACAAGTTACTGACAACACTGCTTTAACTTCAAGTGAACGCATGCAGAGTCTGCCATACGAAAAAACTGCATGGTGCCAACGCTCGCTCTCCTCCTCCATTGTGGGTCTGCAGAGCTCGTGCTGGTACATTGATTAACCTGCAGACCTTTATCGAGATGACTGATTAAACTTTTACGTAGGAGAGAGCTCGTTTAATATCCGACAGCTGTAATTGAACCATGTAGTGACCACTTTTTTCCACTTCTTTGCACAAAAGAAAACAGTGATGGGTAGATAATCGATGAAGAGGAATGAACGCCGCTGGGCTTCAGATGTGTGTGTGTGTGTGTGTGTGTGTGTGTGTTAGGATACACTCAATGCAGTGTAGACTTTCTCCGTCATTAGTTTACTTTATAGCACTGTTGTCACATTTCAAGAGTGCTGAATGAAGGTTCAATTTACAGATTTAAATTACCTTTTGCATATATATAACTGATTAACTAATATTCGGTTGCATTAAAGCACCAGATGTATTACCTCTGCCCTCTTGCCCATTTCCAGATAAGCGCAGATGGGGTGGAAGGCTCCCGTGCCACAGATGTACAGATGGGTCTGGTTATACTGCTGGAGAACCCGGATGAAGTTGGAACACTCTTTCTAAAAAAAAAAAGAAATAAGAGAAGGAACATCAAGCTTCCACCTTGTGGATAATTTTATACGGTGAGACGACATACAGCTGGCAAAAAGATATATTTAATACAACCTGTCTAGCATATTATATAGTGCTGAATAGAAACTTTGGGGATTTTTATGAAAGAGGTTGCACATGTTCGCAGTAATCTCATACTTTCAATTCTCTCCTCCGTATCACAAAGTTGAAATTAGATTTTATCCTTTATGAAAATAAAGCTGACATTTTTAATAGAGAAAAATGCGAGAAAACAGCGACTAATAGAAAGCAGAGAATAATAGAGGGTAGAGAGAGGCTTTGTTGGAATTCCAGTTTAAACAGGGACTTTCCAGCTGGTTTGGGAAACCGAGTCTCCTTCAAGGAAATCCCACCTGTAAGTCAAATCAAGCAAATCTGCCACAGATCTTTAATGATCCATATGTTTGAATTTACTGAGGGTATTTGGGTTGGCTCTCCGGTCCATGCTGATAGTCCCAGCGGTGTGAGACTGTTTATTAGAGTGCTAATCAACAGGATTGGTTAATGTAGGAGGGTTATTAGCAGCCTCGAGGAGTTGATTTGGGCACATGTGTTTAAGAGATTAGGCTGGGGTTTGCCTAATTATAAATACACGCTGAATATCCACCTAACAAATAAGAACACATTTGGTCGGGGATTTGGAAACTCAGCACACATCTCATCACACGCTGACAGCCAAATTATCTCTTCCCTTCAACACATGTATCTATTCAGCCTTCTAAAGCTTTCACTTTGATGATTTGACGATGTCCCTGTGAAACATAAATGGATACAGGGCTTCAGGTTGGAGTGATGACATTTTCCAGTGCAGCTCTGGGATCACACACTGCATACCTTGTCCAAAAAACAGAGTTTTCTTTTATGATTCCAAAAGGCAGAATTGTTGTTTCAGCTCTGACCGTTTCTCCGTCTCAGTAATCTGCTTAAAGGGAAAGTTTTTGGCAAATACACTCACAGTGTCTTGCAGGGAGTTAGATGTGAAAATACCACTCACATATCTGTGTGCTCAGTTATGAAGCTGGAGCCAACAGCTGGTTTGCTTTGCTAGCCTGGCTCTGCCCTCAGGTTACACAATCTGCCTACTGGCACACTTGTTTAATCTGTACAAAAAAAGACTATGTGTAAAAATGACAATCGGTGGTTTTATGGATGGTTACATATTTCTTGGGCGGATGGAGTGACTTAAAGAAATCTCGTTTTCACTGCAAGGCAACTGAACGCTCGAGGAAGCCACTGAACTCTGCGATGTTTAGTTTTTTGTATAACTAAAGGTTTTGTGTGCAACCTTTCAGAACAAATGGATGTCACTGTAGGACCAGCATCCCCGACCAAAGCAACAGGCACATCAGCTACACGACCCTTCCTTCTTTCACTTTTATTCAAAACCAGAACGGTTGTGCCGACAAAAAAGTATCCAGTTACAACCATTAGCATATGCTAGCTTTGTGAGTGCACTGAATGATCGTAGCAAGTTGTTCTCAACCCTAGTAACACTGTTTTTTTTTTTTTTACTTCAGCTGTCTCCAGTCTGTGTATGTCTGTTTCCAGGATCCGCCAGAATGGATTAGGGCCATGGATGGACCACGTGTTGACGGATCAGAGCAGATCGGACCGTGTGTGGAAACAGACACACAAAGACTGGAGTGGAGACACAAAAGAGCAGCAGAAGAGAACTTCAAAACAGCAGAATCTCAGGCTGAGAAGAAATGAAACAAGTGTGCTTAAATTCATAAATAACATTAATAAAACATCTTTTTTTGGTTATTTAGGATATTTGGCACATTGGCTGAACATTAAATGACACTTTCCCATTTTCAATGCAGTGTGGTAGGTCACTTTTAGTCAGTTCATTGGCACGGGGACGGCCAGCACTTTCAATAAGAGGAACTCCCATACACTAACATGCATGCACATAAAACAAAGAAGCTTGGATTACAACACACACTTCATCCTCTGCTAAGGATCACTCCACTATAGTTTCACATAGTAGATAGTTGTTTGTAGCTATATTAATGCTATGTTCAAAATCTTGCATTTGCACCTTTAAACTAAAAATACACAACATGTTAAGAGGTGTCAGCAAGCAGGTTTTGTTTTAAAAGAGTCAGGCTAACTCCATTTCTCATCTACATTCTAGGCTAAGCTAACAGGTGGAAGCTTCATATATCCCACACAGACATGCAATATGAACACATTGCAAAAAAAAAGCAAAAATTTCCATAAAAATCAGACTGTTTTTTTAAATGAAGTGTAAAATCTGTGTTATAGCATGCTAAGCAGCTCAGTTCTTTCCATGTGATTCACACCTTTAACTGTGCATGTCATTATTAACCCACTAACCCACCAAAGTCTGCAGCCACAGGACTGTTCCCAAGTTCACAAATGAGGACCAAACTTGCATGATGTCTTGTGGCTGACCTCAAGCCTGCACGTCTATGTGACTGTGTAACTTAATGGCTTTACCCTCTGTGTTTCTTTCAGCTCAACATCAGGAGCACATGTCCTCCCCACATCATTCTTATTATTTGTATTTCATCAACTCCTATAATCCCCCTGCAGGGTCAGCTTTGTTTAGGATTTTTACATGGCTGTCTTCATAAGACTCATTAGCTATGTGGTAGGTTGGCTGCACCTAAACAATAACAGACTTTAGCTACGGTCATTGTAATGTGTCGCCGTGTCATGGCCTCAGGTGAAAAATGGTTTGCCTGATCACAAACCATGCCATTATGTGAAAACCGCAATACCCACAGAGGATAAATGAGTCATAATTGGATAAGACGAATGACTCTCTTTGGTCTGGGTATTGATGATGACTTTCCATAGGAGAAATGGGTGGACAGATTTGTATATATTTGGATGAACTGAGTGAATTTTGAGATAATGGTGAGGTCTTTAATCGAATATAGAAACTGCACTGGCATTGTGGGAGAACTTATTATTTTTCCCTCAGTGTTTGCAGTAGCTGGACAGCTGATCGGAAATGACATCAGGCAGTTTTACGAAATCGTAAATCCCCGCTTCAGTGTCTAAAGCCGTTGTTAAACGAATCAAATGCAACAACCTAGGCCATGTTACACAGTCATTCTGCTGGGGATAGTGATGCAGCCATCAGGCATTTTGAGGAGGGGGGGTCAGCTGTTAAATTTGTTCTGCGGCTATAAAATGTGGTTTGGAGAAATGCATCACATTGGCAGCTCTGGATGCTTTAGTAATGTCCTAATCAAGGCCTCTTCGTGCTGTGCTCTGTCTCTGCTCTCACCGCCTCATTTTCAAGGGTAAACATTTTCACAGCACGCAAATACCTCATCATTGTGTTTCTGCGATTTTTGTGCTGCCAGCAGAACACACTCTTTCCACTTGTGTGAGGGAGTGAAGGTGTAGTGTTGCTTATGTGGCTGTGTCTTGTGCGAAACCCAAAAAGCTGGTGGCGAGTTAGAGCCCAGCGGAACGTCTGTGATTTAAAAGGACTATGTAATTCAGGATAATCCTAAAAACCCTGCAGCCCGGCACTCGAGACTCATCCAGGCATGAAATTAAGATCAGATACAACACAGAGAGGGCCTTTCCAAACAGCGAGATAACAGACACCAACGCCAGCGTGCACACAAACAAAGTCAGCTGCGTGTAGTATGTGTTCAGCAAACTTGCACAGAATTGGACATGTGAGCTAACACGCCAGCGCCAGATAACGAGAACTCAAACAATGCCCTCCCACGTAAATATGCACACGAGTGGGACCTACATAAACACACTCCCGACATTAAACCGTACATCACAGAAGCAAATAACCTCTGCGTCATTGTCCTTGTACGCACTGTGTACACCTTCCTGTGACAAAACATGTGCCGTACATTTTGTTTCTTTGTGTTTAGGAGTAGGTGTCACTGGGGGACGGCCCATAGAGAATACAATGTGCCGGAGGTGAAACGGGCCACGGCTACTGCATCACTTTTATCCGAGCTAATTTTCAAGCTCTTTAGTGTGCCATTGTTCTTCTATGACTTCTCCCCAGGCAACTATTCCTTCATTGCATTGTTATTAGGTCATTTAATGTGGTCCCGTGACCAAAACAAGAAAAATGAGCGAGAAAAAATCTGAGAAGCAAACAGCAGTATAATTTGTTTAATATTACATGAAGGGCTCAGATCATCATGAACGTGGACTCACCCCCAGGTCTTTCCCTGCCCACTTGCATTCGTCCCTCTTAGAGGGGGTGGCGGGCCACGCAATCTGTGCAAATGAGAAAGAGACAAAGTCACATTAGGCTGGAGGTGGAGAGGAAGATTCACGTGTGAGTCAATACAGTGAATCAGAGGAATGCAAGATTTGTGTAATTCCAGAAGAATGACTTTTGATTTGTCATGTTTTCTATTAATCTTTAGTCATTTCTGTATTTCCCTTTATATCCTTGGTCCTGCTACGGAAAAGTGTGCATCTAATAAGTAGGAGATTTATAGTGAATGGATTGACTGCAATAAAGGGAAGAAACCTAAAAAACAGAGCGTGTGTATGTGTCATTAAAAAAAAAATGTTTTAATATCTACCGTAACGTTGCACTTGCTGTAACAATAGAGACATTTTTTACAGTCTGAACAGTGGTTCTGGTTCAAATTACAGCTTCTTCCTACACTTGAAATCCTTAGCATAAGGTTGTACTTTTCACTTCATATATGAAGAGAAACCCGGCTTTTTGCTACTTTGTTTTGGAAGAGATAAGTCTCACTGTCATCCATCTGTGGCCCCTGGTGTGACATGAATTATGAACACACATGGAGCGTATGAGTGTGCATGTGTGAGCTGTAATAAGTAAGGAAATGATTATATACTCAAAATTGGATGCGATAGAGCTCAGCTTTTTGCTGCTGGCCACACAGATGTCGAGAGATAATGGAAATGTATGCACATGCATGTTCGCGCATTATTATGTCCTTACAATACACACACACACATCTCTCAGTCTATTCCTAGACTTTATCTCCTCCTGAGATCAGCTAAGTTTTCCTCTCTTGGGAATCTGCATTGCACATTTCAGGGTAATTACATTAGATTTGCTTAATCACTGCTTTTTGGCCTTTATCTTATAATGATGCAAAGATTAGAACAAAAGAGCGAGAAGGAAAGAAAAAAAAAACACATATCCGAGCCAAGGGCAAAAGAATACAGAGACACGCTCTCCCTCTCTGCATTGACTATGTATTTTTCAGCACTTTTATTCCCCCCGTTCAGCTCTTTGCAGCCAGTAGGCAAGTCTGTGTCAGTCTTGTGTGTCTGCGACGGCAGCCCGAATCAGATAAAAAGACTGTTAACCTAGTCCAGGTGGAGTAATGGAATTATGGACAGCCTTGTCTGGACCGAGACAGACAGTGGGAGGGATGAAGGGAGAGGGAGGAAAAGATGGAGTAATGGACTCCAGAGGGAGCAGCAAGAGAAGAGAAGAGAAGAGAAGAGAAGAGAAGAGAAGAGAAGAGAAGAGAAGAGAAGAGAAGAGAAGAGAAGAGAAGAGAAGAGAAGAGAAGAGAAAAGAAGAGAAGAGAAGAGCTTTTGCACAAATGTATAAAACATAAACACAATACTGCATTTGAAGTTCACCTGTTTGTGGTCTCTGTTGATATTGACAAGGTCAAAAGAGAAGATGTGGTCTTCGGCTCCGACCAATAGTCTCCCTCGCTCTTCGTCCAATAGGAAAGCGTCGTAGCTCGAGCTGTTGGCCAAGCCATTGAAGGTGATGAGGTTACTGGAGTCTAACATCTCTGGAAGAAAAGAAGAATAAAAAAGGATGGTTAACCCTTGGATGCATGGAAACGGAAAAGACTACAACCCCCATATTTCTGCAGCACCGTCTCACTGAAGTTAATCAACTACAAATATGGACTTACTACAGAGAACTGGTGCAACAAAATGCATCTGCAACACATATAACCTTTGAATTAAATATCGTATGAAATCACAATCAGTCTAAAATGTCGCTCAGCACCAACGAATACTCAACCACAACACATTTTTTTGCTTCTTTTGAAGAAAGGCAATAATTTGTAAGAAAAAAAATACTAGTGCTTCCCCAATCACAACACTTGCACACACTTACATACGAATACATGTCAGTCAAGTATAGCGTGAGACATTTTAAGAGAGCACAGCATGTCGCAATCAGGGACACGGTTCAGACTGTTCAGCCGTGTGATTGGTTGAATAATTCATATGGACTGAGGGCCAGGGGATACACTGTGTAGGTAAGTATGTGTGGGCGTGCGTGCATGTATCTGTAAATGGGTTATTATGTAAATTAACATGAATGAGTTTGTTACCGCACATGTGCTCCATTCAGGTGGACAAAGACTATCATACAAACTATATGTGCACAAGTCTGCCCGACACTTCATGTGTGGGCTAAAGTCTAGCCGTGCTGCTGACAGTTAAAGTTTAATCACCAGCGATGACTTGCATCAAGTCTGAAGGGTCAGCTGTCACCGGAGCTGCAGTATTATATTAACGAAAAGCAACACTGCCCTACTAAAGGCAAGTTAACAGGATTACATGTTCTCTAATATGGAAAGTACTTGTGCTGTACTAAAGCTAACCCAAGCAAAACAAACTAATTTTGCATTCTTTCTCTAAATGCAGTCTGCAAAAGATCAAGAAAACTTCACATTATGTTAAAGGTGCCGTATTGTATCCCCTTTTTAACAAGTTTATTTACGTCTCAGATGTCCCCAGAATATGTATTTTAAGTTTCTGCTCAAAATACTGCGCAGATCGTTTATTCTACCATTCCTGTCTTTCGCCTAGTTTTCTCCCTGATACGAACTGACTGTTTTAGTATCTCTAAATCCAACCGAGCTGTCGCTGCCCACAACCCTTTTAAGAAGAGAACTGCAGACACACCTCTCTCTACATCTGCTCTGTTCAATGATTGGTAAAGAGCCAGTCAGGGGCGGAGCTCATAACAGGAACAGGGACTCTTTCTGATCAATGGAGAAATTAAAGAAACAAAAGGAACGTGTTTTCTCATAATTAGCTGGATTCCAGATACACTAGGAACATGTAATTATGTTCAAAAACAAGAAAGAAAGGATTGTCCATGACATGGCCTCTTTAAAAGTTAACAGTATGAGTAGATTAACCGATTCATCAAAATGTACAAAATGTACAATGATGTACAAAAACTGAATTAAAGGCAAAACAATCAAACTTTATGTATTTCTAGCTTATTAAATTCTACATTGTACATCGATAGGATTTAATGTTTTATTTTTAAGTACAATTCTACACACCATCAAATGTGATAGACTTCACATGGTCTTTATTACATCTTAATTTCGTTTCTATTCCATTTTATTATTTCTTTTCTTGCGTCTTACTATTCTTCATTTGTATCTAATGGCTGTAGTATGTGAATTTAATGACTGAGGAATCAATCAAGTCTATTTTATCTTACATAGTTCGTTGGACAACACAAAAATACATCAAAATAATAGTTTGTTGCAGCCCCAATTAAAAGTGTACTACAAGAAAAATGATAAATACTACACATTATCTATATAATGACTAGATATTACCATTGTTGAAAGTACAAGTTGTCCAAATTCCTTTTACAGGTATTTCATTTTTATTGAGACTAACAGCGTAGTATCTTTGGCTAATTGAACATCAGCTCCCACAGTAAAAAATATGCAGGACGTCAATCAACATTCTTGCTCATACAGTGTAGGCTGCTCTGAAATCTAATAATTATAATAACAGTTGTAACATTTGATTTACAACCGAATCAAACCAAAGAATCCATTAACCATCTGCCACTGGTTTGTCTGCTGAATGCGCAACCCACGGTCTGCGCCGCAGGTACAGTCTTCTGATACATCAGACATCATCCATCATCATCAGTGTCACCACACAGCGTGGACACACGCAGGTACACAATATAGAAAGCAGCACAAGCATACAGCCCTGTACGCACATTTACACACACACACATATACAAGTCCAGTGGATTGTGATCTCCCTGCTCTCCCCACAAAGCTCTGATTGACGGGCTGCTATAGGAGCCATCTGCGCCCACTCACAGTGTGTAAGATCTTGGACATCTGTGTCTACATAAAAGAAGGAATTGATGGAAGGGGAGACGGAGGAAGTGGTGTGTCAACCATCCCCGTGTGTCGAGCCCCAGTGTGGTGGATGAGGGGCTGCGCGAGGGAGTGGTCGTCACCTAATAAAGACGGTTGCAGCTCATCTGCGTCAGTCCGATTTCGGCTTGAGGCTAAGTTTGAGGCTGAGGGAAAAAGGAGTGGGTGGGTGTGGGCATGAATGGAGGCCTGTGGACGTGAGGTTGTGTGTGAATTTGTACTGTACCACAGATGGGTTGAGCGTATGTGTGTGGGTTTCAGTGTGTGTAGGTATTTTATCTTTTTTTTTTTTTATGCACTGGTCATTCCATGCACACCGACATCCTGGCATTTAGCAGCTCTGCAACGCTCAGATTACAATGACGAGGAATTCGACGTTTAAATCGAGAGGTGTCTTCAGAACCGTTCTGTTATCGTATGGTTGCTCTTGTTCTCAGTTTACCAATAAGACATGACATAGCGGGCTCAGGAAATGAGTTCGAGGAGGGAAGTACGGAAATGCGATTTCCAGCCGCCAGAACGCCGGAGGAGGTCTTCTTATGTTTCAGCTATAAAGAAACGGAAAAAGCGATTGACGTGGCAGAACGCCAAGCTAGGCAGAAATATGGAAATGAAATGAAAAAATAAATAGCTATAGGGTAATGAAATATTAGAAATACACCAAAAGGGAAGTAGAAAATGTCAGATATTGAGAAACAAGCACCATCAGGGTATCCTCTATCTGTTTTTCAGCTTCTATTCGCTGGTGTTTTGGCTTTCATACATGTTGACCCTTATCTTCTGCAAGTGAGCCGAACCCAGGAGTCGTGACTGCGCTCCGAAATGTCAGGTCCGTCACGAAAGGTTTCCCCCAGATGGGCCAAAGTACAAAAAAAACAGACGCACATATTTCAACACATGGTGATCTCTGACAAAGACAAGGTGGCCTGCGCACACAAAAAACACACACACAGGGGGCTTTATCTGGGCTGGGATCTACTGTGGTTTGGAAAATCGGAGGAACTGGGGCGTGAGCACCTACGGACCTCCAACCTAAACACAGACACACTCGTTTGGAAATGGGAGCACGAGAAGATAGAGAGCGCAGAGCTCATACAAAATATAGTACCTGAGGAAAAGGACACGCATTCGGTGGATGTATACGAGTAACGTGCAAAGACAAAGGAAAAGCAGGTTTGATGGTGCTGCTTTAAAAATGCAAACCACACCCTCAAACTTACATGCATATATTAATATTGACCTAAATGTATACGCCACATTAGTTCCCCCTGAACACACACACTTGTCTCCCCAGTCTGAGTTGTAATCCAATCAGAATATCTGCTTATGCAGCATGAACTATTGGAACAGTGAGCGCACTCAGCAGCTTCCACCTCTAACACAATCCCGGGCCTCGGACCCCCTCACACACACACACGCACGCACACACACACACACACACACACAACTCCTCTAATGTATATGTGCCACGTGCCCCCTCACCACACACAGTCTGCTTACAGAGACATTTAAACACATCTACTTGTGTGCGCACATACATTCCACTTCACACACAGACACACACACACACACACACACTCTATTCCTTCCCACTTTCTCTTGTTACACACATCCTCTGTCTGCTCTCTTTCACTCCCACATTCAGCCTTTCACACATACAACATGCACGCACAGTGGCCTATGCAAACATGCAAACACACGTCGTGCACAAACACAAATATGCAAATACGTGCATGCAAATCCTATCTATTCATCCAGTTTTGGCTTAATTTGTAGTTTGATGTTCACATAGGGCTGAATTTTGGAAGTTTAATGTGATTATAGAGTGATTATGTGTTTTCATCTTCACTCCATGCACACACACCGTATATCCAACACACTTTGAAACTGGCAAACACAAGCAATTCATTCAAATAAACTCCCATTTGTCCCTCCGCCATACTCCATTATGGAAAATAACCTGGCTCTTGTCTTAAAAAGCTCATCGGAAAAAAATAAAAAAAATACATTCAAAATTCAAGTGCAATTGTCTATGGAGTACTCTTCACTCCCCCATTCTCCAAACAGGCAGGCGTTTTAGACGCCTACATGCCACGCAATAGCGGAATAATGAAACCGCTTGAAAGAAAGGCGACAGGGCATTAAATTATGTTTATCTGAGTGTGTGTACGTGCGGCCGTGTGAGTGTGTGTTTGAGTGACATGAAACATAAAAGCCTCCCAGAGGAAAACACTTGACTGAGATTCAACAGATGGATAATATTCCATTAAAATAATGTGGCGCTTTTCAAGTCTTTTTCTTGTTCGTATACACAGCGAATGCTCAGCACGCAGAGGAGTTTTCAATATACAAAAAAGGTCTTTGAATGGCACTCGTTCACTTCCCATTTGTTGACACTGCTTTCTTTCTCTCCTGCAGTTGGCATAAAGTGCCAGACTTGGACCCATTTTTTTTTTTTTTTGCTGTTTCTGTGGTTTTTGCGCAAGTCTGCGTATTACTGAAGAACCGCTTCCATTGACGTGCAGGAGGAGAAAACACAGTTGAAAAGAAAATGGCAGCTCAACAGGAACTGGCGCAGAAATTTGCACATGTTTATCTTTCGAATACGAGGCTAGCTTCAAAAAAAACAA